CGAGCCGTAAAAGCGCCGCCCCCGACGCACACATCATCCCGGTGGTCCATGCGCCCCACATGCACGAGGTCATTAGCAGTACGGCGGCCCCTGCTGCCTGCTGCTGCACCGCTGAGCTGCCGCTGCCTCGGTCGCTTATTGAGCGTGGTCCTATTTGTTGACAGTGCAATAACCATTTCCAATTCGCTTTGATCTGCGAGGCAAAGAGGGAGGGAGAGAGAGAGAGAGAGCGAGGCGCACAGCACAGCAGCAGCAGCAGCAGCAGCAGCAGAGCCGCCAACACCCATCTCCACTCTGTGCAGTTGTTTACGGGCGCGCCGCGGGCGGTGTGGAGGCATGCAAGGAGAGGCACGGGCACGGGCGGGCAAGGCGGAGGTCACGGTCAGCCAGGGAGGCTCGCGAGCAGGCCCCAGAGCAAGTGGCGGTGGTGGAAAGAGGTATAAGCAGAGAAACAACGGCGGGTGGGGCGTAGGCGAGAAGGGGCCTCTCCTGCCTGCAGCAGCCCTCGCCGGTGCCGACCTTGATCAGCTGCAGCAGCAGCAGCCGCCTCTCTGTTGAACGGACGTGCATTGACTGAGTTATATGCAAAGGCGACGTGAAGGGGTCCCGAAAGAGGGGGAGGTGGGAGGGGGTCCCTCGCCCGAGAGCGATGCATTGAAACGGGGCGTCGACACAAGCAGTTTGCCCTCGAGCTTTAGACGTGGCAGCCCCCACCGTACGGTACGGACATTTTATAGGCGCTTTGCTCGTCGATACTCCGTGACGTCACAAGCTTCTGCAGCGGCGTGGCGTGGCGGGTGTCCTCGGTACCGCGGGGATGGCTGGCCTGGCTGGAAGCACCGCGTCGTCGCCGTGTCGGGGGAAGCCCACACACTCACAGGCTCGTGCCGACACGGTGTTTCCCCGCGTCGTCGCGGAGGTGCACAGCACGTGCGCGCGCACGTGGCCGGGCTAAAACACGGGTTATATGGTTACGTCTCCCCTCGAGCGCGGCGCGCAAGAGTAATGGTGGCTTGTTGTGGAGCGAAACAGAATTAAAAACTTTTGTGACGTGACGTGGCAGCGTGCGAGGCGGGCGGGCTGCGGCGGCGGAGTCTTCTCCTCTAAGCGATTGCTTCTCGTGAAGCGGCGGCACGCTCCCCCAGGACCGCCCAGCGCTGGGGGCGCCCCGGACCACCCCCACACGCCCCCGCGCAGAGCGCGGAGCAGGCGAGGCGAGGCGAGGCGAGGGGCGAGGAGGGTGTCCCCCCCTGAGGGTGTCCCAGCCAGCCAGCCAGCCAGCCGGCAGGGCCGCGGCCCAACTTGTGAAATTTATTGAATGAAACGCTGCCGCTCGCCGCCGCCGCCGCCGCGTCCCACCCACGCACCTGGGATGTGGGCCGCCGGGGGGTATAAAAAGAAGCTTCCCGGCCCGGCGACACCACCACCCATGGCAACGGCCCCGCCGTGGCAGCCCGCGGAGCCCGCGCGGCAGCAGCAGCGTCGTGAATACAAACCGTCACGGGCTTGATGGATCTGGAGATGGAGCCTCGCGAGAAGCGCGCGCTGCCACCGCCGCCGCGGCTTTAGGGGGTGAAATAAAACAAAGCGCGAGAGACGAGAGGAACAGCCAGGGCGGACGTGGAGGGATCGCGGCAAGCAGAGAGCAGCCCGCCGCCGCCGCAGCAGTAGTGCAGCAGTTAGCCGCGCGGGATTCCGCGCCGCTCTCTGTTCGGCCAAATGACCTCCGCGGCCCGCGCCTTGTGCGACGCTTTTGACGCTCTTGGGGGGCGCTGTGAGCAGCGTCGTGTATTAGGGCAAAGTGCGGTCATTTTCGGGGACGAACACCTGACTCCGCGTTGAATAAAATGGATGCTCCGCCATTGTACACTTGGGTCCTGCGACTAGAGTTGACGTCGTACACACTTGTCAGACTGCGTCACGGACGCGTCACATACACCAGATGGCTGACTCACGCCGCGCACTTTTGCAGTGATACCGTACCGCATACACGCGTGCGGGCGGGTTGCCTAATCGCACGGGGCCATGAGGAGCCGTGGGCAGCGAGCAAAGGCAAACCCGCCCGCACCCATGCATGCGATACAGTTTAGCTACGAAAGTGAGCGGCGTGAATCAGCCACCTGGTATGTGCCCTCACGGAAGAAAAATTACCTGTATAATTGGGTTAATCCGCAATAGCTAACTGAGACATAAGTAATATTTCGCTATCTGACTTAAAATTTAGCTGAGTCGCAAAAAAATTTGCAATCTAGCTAAGAACTTAGCTGTATAGCTGGAAATTAAGCTGTGAAACTTAACAAAAATTAGTTATCCCTCATTCAGCTGTTGCTTTACGTACAGTTAGTTTTTGTTTTCCGTGTTGACACTTTTCAGAGCGGCAGGTTCGCTCTGCTCGAGTCACCGCTGCTGATACGATACGGCCGCCGTGCGTCGGACGCACCGCGGGGGTCCGCTAGCCAGCCAGGGGTCCGCTGATAAGATGGTCCGCGCCGGCCTTGGCGCGTGCGGGGCCCCGGGGGCCGTACTCGTTACACTGATGAGGGGCCCGGCCCGGCCCCGGCCCCAGCCCGGCCGCACGTCGTACAGTCCGAAAACTCTTTGGCGCCGCAAACATTGCTGCGCAGCAGAACTCACGGTGACGGAGCGCACGACCCGGGCCTTCAATAAAGAAGTGGACACACCCAGTGGTGAGCTCGTCTGGTGTGTTTGCTTTGCTTCCATGAATGAATAAGTTTCCTCCTGCGCGGGAGATCGTTCTGGTGCTGTACAATAGTAATTATCGACTGAGGGGGGGGGAGGCAGTTCCGGGCTGGTCAGAGAGTATGTGCAGGTTTATTGTTAACTTCTTTTCGTGGAACGCTGTCGAAGAGTGTATTATGACGCCAAGCGGGGGGGTCGCGAGCGCGCAACGCGAGCGAAACACACAACTTTGCTCTGCAACTCGAGCCAGGACTCGGCGGGGCGGCGCAGCCCCCCCGCGCGGGGCTACGGCGACACCTGTACGACGGTAATAACGGAGTTCCGACCCAGCGGGGCCCCACCCCTCCTCGCACAGAGACCTTGTTATCTTAATACTTCCCCGGCCGGCTTCTTTCTATTGTGCTCGCCAGAGTTGCTCGCGCCGTCTCTCTACACCTCCGTCCCTCCTTCCCCGCGCGCCTTGCACTTGCTTGCGGCATAGTGTCGCGCCCGACTTGCTCAAGCATCGCCGCCGGCGTTAACGTCCTCCGTATGTTCGTCGAGCAGCAGGTGAGCGCGCGAGAGAGAAAGCGGACGCATCACCGGCGAGTGAGTGGGCGACATCCCGGTCGAGTCTCCCTCGCACCGCCCGCGACCGGGGGGCAACGGCAGCGCTAGGAGCAGGGACTTCCCCGCGCGGTCCAAGGCGGCGGCGGCGGCGCTGCGGCTATTTGCGGAGCCGTGTCGCCCGCGCCCCGTCACGGCCCAACGGCGGGCGGCGGCAGCGGAAGCAAAACGCGCAGGAAGCGCCGCGCGGCGTGGCGGAGGAGCGCGGCGGCGCCCGCCCCGCGCCCCGCCGGCACCTGTGGCTGCCCCCCGCGACACGCGCGACACGCACGGGTCAGGGTCCAAGCCGCTGCACCATGGCGACGACGACCTCCGGAGGACTCTCACTCCACAGCCGCCAGCTGACACCGCATCGTCGACTGTGTTATTTCTTCGGCATCGCGGAGGTTTCATCAGGAGGCGGGATAGCTGAAGAGGGCAACCGACACCCGCGACTGCTGGACATGACCTTCCGCCGGCGTGCTGACGAGGCGGTGGCCGCGTACACTTGACAGTGTGCCGAAGTGGTCTCGGTCGGCGCGGGGAGCTCTTCCGGCTGGCGGCCCCGCGGCCCGCGGCCCGGCACAGCGCGGCCAGCCGTCCCCCCCGCCGCGGCAGCGGCCCGTGCCCCGCGCTCCAGCGGCCGCGCCGAGCGCCACGTCAGCGAATAAGACAGTGCAGAGTGCGAGCGACAGCAGCGAGCCGCGTATCTCGCACTCGAAAGCTTTTCGGTGCTAAGGGGTATCTCCCCCTTAGCCGCCGCCGCAGGGGGCCGCGCCCCACGTCACGTTGCCGTTGTCGTCGTGCCGATGTCATTCAGTTATCCAACTCATTCGTCGTCCAGCCGACAGGTGTCGCCCCGAGCCCATTAAATGTGTTATCGATCTCGTTTGGATCGGGCCTGCCGCCGACCCTCCCTCGTCCCCGCCCCGCCTCCTCGCCGGTCGTGCAGTCCTTGCAGTTCCGTGAAGACGGGAAGCACAGCAGTGCCCGGAGCCGGGCCGGCGCTGCTCCTCCCCGCCATTCACGTGTAATGCCTTATTCTGCGAACACGCCCGACGCGCTGAATGGCAAGGCCCCTGCGTGGTCACGAGGACGGCACGTCAGCTTCGGCCGGCCCGCCCGCCCAGCGCCCAGGACCTCCGGACGCATTCCGGTCGGCTGGAGGGAGGGGTAGGGGGGGGAGGGGGGCATGCCCGTCCGCACTCGACTCGGCACCGCGCAGCAGCGGCGCTCTCCAGCCAGCCAGCCGGCCAGCGCCAGGTGCCTGCTCCTGACTGCCTGCTCAGCGCTCCAGGCCGGTGGATCCCCAACGACGACGCCCTGCAGAAAGCAAAGTGCATGCATGCGTACAGATCCACTGACACCGACACCCACCCACCAACCGGGCTGGACCGCGCACGGGAACAGGGCCAGCAGCAGGGACGCGCAGGACAACTTGCAGACATGCATGCACATGCATTGCACATGTGCACAGACCTGCGCTGACTGACACTGACACCCAAGACGAGCTCAGATACACGAGTCAGACGGAGCGCGCCGTGCGGCGCCGTGCGAGACAGCACAGACCAAAAAAAAAATCACGGCCCCAAAATAAACGCAGCACCTTCTACCTCCTCCTTTGCTCCTCCTTCCTTGTCTCACTCGTGCGAGTGCCAGTCTTGTGCGCTCACTCGCGCACTCATTCGTCCTCCGTCTCTTTCTACTTGACTCACTCGCACTCCGGGCACGCCGCCGGGCGGGTAGTACCGGGTCCGAACAGGTAGGCGGAGGTATCCACGGTAAACAAGTAGTGCTTATCCAGGCGGCGGTGTCACTCGGTGAGAACAGGTCGCGATGCGCGCCGGGCCGCACGCCGGTCAGCGCGAGTAGCACACCAATCACACAGCAAAGTGTTGACACGAGGGGGACTTAGTCCACGGACTGGTCGCGGGGCGGCGCGTGCGAGAGCGAGTGTGCCCGCATCGCTCAATGACCGGCACGGGGCGCGCGACGTGTACGTACGCTTCGTCCCGGAGTCGGCACGGCACTGGCGCTGGCTGGCTGCTGGCTGGCTGCCGGCTGCTGCGGGCGGACGGGCTGGCTGGCTGGCTGGCTGGCTGCGCGGTGGCGGCGGGCCGGCCGCGGGCTCGGCAGCGGCACGAGCACGCCACTCGGCTCGCGGCGGTGGTGGAGGCGGCAGTAGCAGCATAAAGGGCCGAGGAGAGGGAGGAGTGTGCCTGCCAGCCTCGGCTGGCCGTCATGACGGGAGCTGCCTGCCCGGCCGAGACGAATACCGCGGTATTTGCGGATTTCAGAGCTTTGAATGGGGGGCGATGGTTCCCCGATGACCAGCGGTTATACCGTTTCCCGTCTATTGTCGAGGTCAATGTCTCATTGAAGAATGATGGGTGTGCGAAAAGTCGGGAAGAGACGGTGGAATTTCTGGTTTTGAATCATTTATTCATCATGTAATTATAATTGTAATACAGTCGTACGATGCTGTAACCTTCACACCAAACAGAAAATTACCTTCTAAATAACATCAGTAATATGAAGAAACCCTATAACACAAAATTAGAACCTCTGAAAGGATTCTGTACAGACAGCTTGTTTTTTCCCTTTCAAAAAAACAAATTCTGGAAAACTATTTATGTTTTGCAGACTGTATACTGTATCTTTATTTAAATAGAACTGCCAGAGCCCAAAACATTTCAATTCTGGAATAAAATTAAAAATCCCAAAGAACAACAAAAACAAGCATACTCACCTCAAAATCAGTGTGACAATTAGAACAAACAATTAAAGCTAATCAGGTTTTAAGCATGAAACCCTGTGTTTGTAAATTCTTCAAAGCTTGGAATGTTAATGTAATATAATAAATACGGACCAAATAAACATTGTAAGAGTCACTAGCACCACCCATGCATACCTCTCCCCACAGCATACTATTGAACAAGTACAGAGGCAGAAATTGGAAAAAGTATACTATTATACCATAAAAATAGGAAAGATGGTTGTATTCAACACTACGCTTCTGATAATTTTTTATGTACAGGGTTAGTGTTCTGTGCCGTCCTTTTCTCTAGCTCAACAGTACCGGAATCAGGCGAGCGGAAGGGTTGCATACACGCACGGGGCTATAAGGAACCATGACAAGCGACGGTAGGCAAACCCACCCGCCTGAATTTGGTACAGTATAGCTTGGGAAAAAGGACGGCGCAGATCACTCACCCTGTGTTACATCACAATGACTGTGCACTGAATGACCAAACAAGAACTGACAGGTATTTTAGAGTGCAAAGAAAACCCAATAAGTCTGTATATCAAACAATCTATAGATAGTTACAGGAGCAGATAAGAACAGGACCAACTTTCACTCAAGACACTAAGAAAAAAAACTAGAGACTAACAAAGACTCAAGCTAAACTGGAAAGGGCTGGGTAAGCAGGTCTGAAATTGATCTGGTGAATTTGTTCTTGCAAACTGTTTATCAGTTTTCATGAATGTTTTTATCATTTTAGTAACTGTGTATTAATTAAACACAGAACTGAAGTTTAATGTGTTTTTATTAGAAATCTGAAATGCCAGAAATGAAAATAGATTTTAAAAAGAGAAAGAAATGCACTAAAGGCACCACAACATAATTTTCAGTCAACGAACATCATGCAACAAGCAGAATGCCTGAGACAGATCAAGCTTTTCAAATATTTAAACAAATGCAATATATGCCACTCACTCTGAAAATTTCAAAGAGCAAGTGATCTTTGAAAATTAAGCATAAATTATCACCATGTATAAGACTCTCAGAAAATATTTGTACAAACTTTACACACACATCAGGTTGAACCAAATGCAATACTATGAAAGAAATGAACAATGTGATGCCATCTAAATAAATTTTCTTTGATACTAAAGATGCAGGATAGCGCACATGGAAAAGTGAAAGTGACTTCAAAAAGTACATTGAAGGTTGCAAAACAAACCTAAAGTTCTTACTGTGTCATTACTGCCTTGATACTTCTTGAAATAAGACAATGAATTACTGACAATTGATACCATGTCAGTACCTGACTCATATTCCACATATAAATGAAACCAATTAGAAATCCATTTGCTACAAAGCACATGATTAAGGAAGCTACTTATCTACAATCATGACATGATCAGTGACAAGGAACCATTTTCTTTCCTTTTCTTTTCTGTAGACACAAGTAGCCACAAAATAATGTGCTACATGATTAATTGATTGTTCCAGATGATTCTCAGGTTACCAAAGACATGGAATAGATTTTGTACAACATATGATAAAAATGATCCCTGTACATGCTTTTACGAGTGAAGAAACTTAAAAATGACAGTAATGAAAGCCACTAACAAACGATGAAACAAATTTAGACTAAAACATCATATAATAGACATATATGAACATATACATGAATATATTTATATAAAAATTATTTATTTGCTCAAATGGGTCAGAACTGTTTCATCCAGACATGCTCGTGTAAAACTTTCCTCTTCATCAGATTTGCACTTTATCCCATTGAAATGCTTGTCTAAACAAAATCAATTGTAAATGCAGGCTAGCAAGTCACAAGAGAGTCATGACAGGACACAAGCAGTATGGCCATTGTAGTTGTTAGCTCTGAGAAAGCTGACTATTTGTTAGTAGTCTTTCAACTGCTGCATTCACATCACCAAAAGTTGCAATAAGAGCTGTAATAAAGACGATTTTTTAAAAAAATCTGAAAACTGAGAACATTAAACAGCAGCATTTGAAATTGTTTCATACCTTGAAGATTAGCATCTCGGTTGACAAAACCCATGTTGGTAAGTTGTTCAAGTTGAGAACGGTATCTCTCTTCTGGAGGCAAACTAGGGCTAGCTGATGGATTTTGACTTGCCATATCAGAAAACTGTTTTAGAAAGAAAAGATAAGATTATTTCAGTTACAAATTAGATGATAAATTGTGTATTAATATAAGGAGGAAAAGCACCTACCATTCTAGCCAAAAATTGTGAGATAACATCATCTTGCCTACTGGGTGAAGTTCCTGATCCTGTAGTAGGTGCAGTTGGATTTGTTGTAGTAGTTGATGTCGGGGCTGTTGAAGACGTATCAGTGTTAACGGAGGGTGCAGGACTACCTGCAGTTGTTCGGCTAGTGGGTGATGCACCTCCTAGACTGGGACTTGATGCAGTAGCATTGGGGTCTAGAGATGTTGCCAAAGATGGCATAGCACCGAGCCCCATACTGTGACATGAGTACAACATGTTGGTAAAACATTTTATTTAAAGTTAAAATCAATGACCGCATTATTGAATTATTAAGCTCACTTGTTAACAAGGGAGGGTGCAGCTTCCCTCAACCGGTCTAGACCTTGTTGGATCTGCATAATTGCAGATAGTGCTTGAGGATTAGAGGCTAGACCCTGCACTTCTGGGTTCTGCAGTTGTTGGAGAAAGTTGGGCATCATTTGGCGCATTTGTTCCTATAAAAATAAAAACACAACAAAATAATGCAAGGACCATATTTACCATATTTTAAAATGAAGGGAATAGACATAGTTCATTTACTTAAAGAGCACAAAATTCGTGAAGTGGTTAACATACTTGCAAGGCCGGGTTGCGAGAAATCATGGGATTCATGTTGAAAATGCGCATTGCCATTTCTGGATCCTGCTCCATACTTTCAAGCATATTCTGCACATAAGGTGCAGTGGCAAAATTCTGCATTGCTTGAGGGTTTTCCATCATCTGCTGCATCATTGTCTGCAGAAGATTTCCTCCTAAAAAGGTGCATGAGATAGATAGCAATTTAGAAACAAAATAATACACGCTAAACTAATTAAAATGGAAATTAGTAGTTTTCTTTACCTGCTGGTGGAGTAGTGGTGGTGTTAGCGGTGGTGGTGGTAGTGGTGGTATTCGCTGAACCCGTCCTAGGTGGTCGGGAAGTAGGACTACTGTTTGCAGCATCTCTTGGGTTCCATGGGTTTGGCAGAGGATCTCGATTTTCCTGACCCTGCTGAGGGTTGGTTCCATCTTCAAGGCAAATAAAAATAAATTAAATAGAAATAATAACTACTAAATGAAAAATGATGACAGCCAAACTAACTTCAAGATCAATATTTGGTAAAATTTAAACAAGTATGAGTCACAGATAGTAATTATTATCACCTGGATTATTTTCAACAAGGCCTGCAAAAGGGTTCCTTGGGTCAGTTGCAGCTGATAACATGGGTTCCTGTATGTCACGATACATTCTTTGCAAAGCATTATAACCCCCTGGAATAGACTCCAGGTTTGATAGAGCTCGGTCATGAGACCTCATCAGTTCCTGAAGCATAGAGGGATTGCGAGCCAACTCCAATGTTTGCCGAAGTAACTGAGGGTTATTCATTATGTGAGAGATCTCAGGATTTCTCTAAAATTAAAAAACAAAAAATAAAATTTGATTGATACATTGGAAAGATATTTTTGGGTAACAATCAATATTGACAATAAAGTATTACAAAAAAGGTTCACATACCTCCATTAACTCTCTCATCTGGGGATTTGCCTCAAAAATACTTCTCACAATAGTAGGATCAGACATTAGTTGAGTCACAGCTGGATTGTCCATAAGGTTTCTAATTAATTCAGGGTTGCCAGAGAGCTCACGCTGCATTCTTTGCTGCATTTCCATGAAATTGGCAGAGCCCATGCCTAGTGCCTCTAGTCCAGGAATTCCTCCAAGTTGACCGGCAATTCCAAATCCAGCAGAATCAGAAATGTCCACTGCAAAGAGACAAAGTGAATTATAGGCATTGGTTGATGTTGTCAAGCATAAATGGTAGGGTTTCTTTCATTTCTCATAGGTTAAAATCACAAGGAGAGAGCTCAGAATAAATGTCATTTAAGATATCTCCATACCAGGGGGAAGTTCACGGGCATAGGATGGCGAAGATGAACTGTTGCCTTCATTTGCGCGAGGTGGAGTACTCTTTATCACAAGATGAACAGTCAAGCCATCTTTAATGTTGTGGGTCTTCAATGTTTCAGGATCCTTCATGATTTTCCCAGCAAAAATTAAACACAACTGTTCTGGTTGAGCACTGAATGTTTTGGCCACCAATTCTTTCAGCTGTAAAATAAAAACAATTTCAAATTAACATAACATTTTACACAAATGTAAAATGACAAAATCAAAGATTTGTCGTTTAAAATCAATAACTAATCAAGAACAATAAGTGGCTGACAATTAGAAGAAAATCTCCAGGCGAGGGAAAAGTTCTAGTACTCTGACGTAATTGCGCCAACAAAACAAGGATTGCATGTCAATATACTGACATTACACCTTTCTCCCATGGGTACAAATAGACCAAATATGAGGAAACAAAACAGACGCAGGAAAAAAAATCTGCGGTTTGGTGAAAATATTAGATTGGAAGGAAGATAAAGTCCCACGAATACTATGTCAATTAAAGCCACGGAGTAGGCGACTAACCATCATTACTCAGCATGACTAGACGATCAATAGAGCCGGTGGGATCAGTGACGTTGAAAGGTATTGAATAGAGGGTTGACATTGTAAGAGTCAGCCAAAGTTGAAGTAACAGTCAACTTTCAGGCTGCATTGCTCACGGCATAAAATCGCATTGTAAACATCATATTAATCACTTCAAAATCTGACTAGGCGAGGCAGCCACTGCGCTCAGCCAGGACGTTAACACGAATTTAGATCATTCCGGACAGGTCAGGGAGGCGGTCTAAAAAATTTACTTACTTCTTTAACTGTTGCATTTCCGTCTATTTCTATTGTTTTCTTTTCTTTCGGCGTTTTTACCGTAAGAGTCCATTTTTTCGAAGGTGAGTCGTCTTGACCTTCCGCCATCTTGGTAGAGATATTTATCGGGTGCTTTCCTATTTGTGATGGCCTCTTCGGCCTCTTCCTATCCACGTCGAGCAGCTGGGCACGTTCCTCTTGGCTAAAGTAACGAATATCACCAACTACTGTGAAATCGCAAAGGTAAAGTTCTTATTGTGGAAGAAAGTACATTTTTGTCTTAACTTTTGATACTAATGCTAGCATATGATTAATCTTGACTAGTCAAGGTTATAACAGAAAAAGGATTAAATCTAACCTCAAAATGAATTTTTCATATTGTGTCTGTTGCTCCACTAGTTTTTCATAAGAGAGGCAACGGCGGGGAATCATGGAAAGATTTAATTGATTTGGAATTATTTTCCATGTCGAATGACATTTTTTGACGAAGGTCTGTCCTGACTGAGAACACGCTATATGTCTGCAAAATGTTTGTGTGGGTAGGTTATCTTCAGTGTTCAACCTCATACAGTGAGGTTGAATAGTGATGACAGTTATCTTAACTGTCAAAAGAGTCACAAGATTCTTTCAATTCAGAGCCACAGAGGAAAAAGATTGAATGGACTTGTGTGATTGATGAACATGAATGGCTGCAGTTTACATCTTGTTCCAAACTTGACTGGTTCTTACTCAAAAAGCAGCTACTTATCAAGTTAGTCATGGGATGTAATTATAATGATCATGGAAGAAAGAAATATTACAGGAACAGTAACAATTTAAGGTTTTATTATTTTTGTTTTCAGACATGATATCAAATATTATTGCCAATCTCTTAGTAACAAAAATCCTATTAGTTATTTTGAACATAACTGATTCAAATATTTGCCTGGAAGAAAAGTTTATAGGTATTTGAGCAATTTTCATATGCCATCCTTAAATTCTCTATCATTTTCTGTCAAAAATTTATGGGGAACAAATTTTGATAATCGATCAATTTGAACTAGAATATTAAAAACAGCGACCAAACTAGAGAAACAAATTATATTAGTCTGCAATACTATGTACAATGACTTAAGGCACAGTGTAGACAAGAGCATCTAGCAAGTCCCAACAAATAGTTTTCAAATTAACAAAAAAAGATCACTCCTCAGAGTGCCTACAATCTAGTCACTATTTGCAATTAACAGCACATAGAAATACAACCGAGTACAGTATAAATATTAAGGTAAAACTTGTCCTATTACCACTATGCCATTTTCAAACAATCTCAGGAAAGAATAAATAGGTAACAGATTTTAAGATTATTGCACTTCAGTAATAGTCAGTGGTAATGAAATATTTCAGAACTTGGGGCCAAAATATTTGTCAATATTGCCCAGTTAACCATGAGGCCTAAAAATACTATGATGACTGACACAAATTTTTCTCCTGGGCGACAATTGTTGTTAACGTGCCACAGCTCTTATCAAGTTCAGACAGGTAAAATCTTGAGTATCATAACAATTTATGTGTTGAAAGACTTGATTGAATAGAATAAGAACAGAGTTAAAAGGATTTGTGACGATTTTGTGATGGGTAGTTCATTACTCAACAAGGCTCAATAAAAAGGCATAGCTATGAATCAGTTCAAAATACTTAGAAAGGTACAAATGACTAGCTTAAAAATTGCTGTTTAACAGTTATCAAAAGAGACATTGATGAAACCTTGTTGCATTAGTCATGTTTGGATCATTTGAGTTCTCTTTTGATTCATTTGAAGACCATAAAATTACCAGCCAAGCCATGGAGGTTGCTTATGTTTCACTACTGGTACGTACGTAAGATTGATTGGAATATTTATCACAGCTCTCTTCCTATGTAACTTTGCCAAAGTTCTCCGAATCATGTGCCTAGAAAGAAAAATGGGCAAATACACATAAGAATAAAGGGATTGTTCTCATTCAACCCCTTTTTTTTACTTTTTTTTTGGGGGGGGGGGGGGTGACAAATATTATGTGGTCCAAAAAAGGACCAGAGCGATCATAGGAGTCCATTAGGTCCAATAATATTTGTAGACCCTCACATAGTGCAAGAACGCCCCCTGCAGAAGGAATCTTTTTCCTTGCAAAAATTTAAAACACATAATGCTTACCCATTTCTCCCAAGTAAAAATCCAGCCGGGATATGAACCTCTCTTAAAGTATTATCATCAACCATGTCAATAAAGTGTTCATCTCCTTTGATATCATTATCAGCAACTATTACAGCTAAAGCTCCAACTTCTTCCATTTTCAAAGCTTTGGTGACAAAGGAACATTCCCTGGAATAATTTGTTCAAACAGAATTAGATTAAAACAATTAATTTATGTAATTTAACAGTATTTTATGTCATCAATACATGATATGATGCCAGTAAATATGTAGCTTACCCTCTTTCAACTAATGCAATATTACCCTCCACACTTTCAGCATTACGAGGCCAGCCACAACCACTGGGAGGGTCGACTGGAACCAAACCGATACCCATTGCTTGAAAGCTGTCATTCTGTAGAGAAAATAACATCTTGAAGATTAATTTAGTTTCTTTTTCATGCTGTTCAAAATAAGTTTTTTCAAAATTACACTCACAAATGGTGCACCAAAGTCCTTTGCTGGGCGTAATCTGTACGTATAACCCAATTCTCTAGGATCTATAATTTCAAAAAAAACATCCGAACCTAACACTTCTGGAATACTTGTGCCATCAATCAAGTGTAGATTACTGGCTGCAATTTTTAAAAAGAAAACATGCAACTGTCAAATATCTTCCAGAGTCAGAGACTATGTAAATGACAACAACAAATAAAAACTTCTGCGGTTTGACAATAGGTCATCAAGTAAGAATATTTTTTTGTAAATAGCTGACTGCTGACTCACCGACTGAATGAACAATGACTATGAATTGTGAAAGTAAAAGTATCAATGCAAGCCATTGCAGGTTGTCAATCAGCATGAACCGCCACGGGCGTAACCCCATATTAGTTGAAGCACACTATTAATAACCAATCGTTCAAGACAGGTTTTCAGGCAATTTTTCTGGTAATCACGACAGAGAATCAGAAAGACACAGTATGAAATATCCTTAAATGTCTTGTTACACGCGCTTCTCGCAATTTGCTGACATACCGATCACAGTTAAGGGTGGGGGAAATTTGGAACTAACGTGTATATTGTCAAACTGCTACCAACATCGATAAGTTAAACTCAAATTTAAACACGACTTTTGTTCTAACAGGCAGGTTTATTTAAAATTATGTAGTTGGCATGCTCAATATTTAGATTAAAGATTGAATGGGTCTTGATTGTCAAAGTCTTTACAGTAAAGTAAAATGCAGGCATGTTTGATTCAAATGTGCCGTTTGTGGATTTAACACAGCCTTGGTAAAAACAATCTAAAAACCCTCGGTTCCTACCGGTTTAAAAATGTCACATGGACACGCAAGCGTGCACTTTAAGCGCCGTGGTCGCCTAGCTTGCCAAAATATTGGCACTGCTTTTCGGTTACCAAATATTTTTCTTACGGCTCCGACCGGGCCGATAGATAGGCAACCCGCCCACACACCTTCACACGGTACGGTCTAACTACCAAAGTGCGCGGGGTTAATCAGCCAAGTGGCATGTTCCTCTCGTATGCAGTGGCTCGCAGTGGATTTCTTATCCGTTTCATCTGGCTGTAAAATGAGCTTCACCGTAGCTCCCTTCCCGGGGAGCCGACACTCTTCCTCTGTAGCAAGTGACTTCCACCTTCTTCCCCGCCAGTGATAGCGCCTGCGATGCGTCGGGTAGGCTAACCCGCCAAGCCGTTGTGTGGAGCCGGCGGCCCCGCCCAGAGCGCCCAATGCAAAGTGCAAGGCTAAGTGCATGGAAGCCGTGGGCGCTCGACGTTTCTCCCGCGTCAGCTCGGGGAACGTTCACTGTCGGGGCTTCTTCAACTTCAACTAGGGTTATTACGACCCTCCCCATTCAGAGAGTCCCCAGTGGCTGTCTCTACCCGAAGATAAATTTTTCCAGTTTTGATAAAGATTGCTGATTAACGTTCCAGTTTTGATAAGCCGATTGGCATCGATAATAATATAGATTCCATGTAGGGGCGAGCGTTTTCTCCGTCTCCACCTGTCAGTTCGGTCCCGTTCGTCCCCAGTAGCAGTCCCCTGTTGTGTTGGAAACATAGCGCCCTTACCCCGTACTTCGCGCCACCATGGTAGGCCAGCCGACCCTCACTTGAGGAAAGCTGCGCTGCTCCTCACGCCCCAACCTCCCTTCCCGCTAAGTCGAGCTCTAAGTGCTCAATCGGCACCGGGCGCCACATGGCCCGTCAACTTGACAAGTGATCCTCAGTCTCAAATTATAAATTTGAACCACAGCGCTCTGAAGTATGATAATGTGCATGTTTTTGGCGTACGCGGAAATTACGAATTCTGCGAAATGTGAATGATGATTCTAGCACAATTTGTTGATTTTTGTCGAGTGATCTTATGGAGTCAGTTTACAAGAGGAAGTTTCCCGTTTTTGTTTGGATACTATACGGATAGTATTATTTTGATGCCTAAATTTAAATTACTGGTTCTTTGTCTTTAATTTGAGTTTACTTTTGGAGCTGGACTGTCTCGTTACCACCGGCCGACCGCTCATTTTTTCTATAAAATGTACATGCTGCTGTACCGGCTGATTCAGAGACGACACAGGCGCGGGTGGGTTTGCCTACCCAAGGGGCTACGGCGCCTTACGGGCAGATCGGGTAGGCAAACCCGCGCGCTCCTGCGTCTTCTCCGAATCACCCGGTACGTCAGATTGACGTGAAAGATCGTTGTCGCATGTTTTTGTTTTGTGGCTGCCTAGAGAAGTGCCTGGACCAAAATTTTTTCCCTATAACAAGGAGAAAGTATGGATAGACCCCCTTGACATCTCTAAACTCCCCGAGCTTGAGATTGCCCTTAGGGTCGCGGTCGAGGAAGCAGAGTCATGATTGAGAGCGCACAACCACAGGCAACACCTGGCGTGGGCCTGCGCGGCCCCTGGAGCCTGGCCCCACCAATGAGGCCGTCAACAGCAGTCGCATCGACAGTAGTTTGGGTTCCCCACCCGCCCGGCCCCCCCGGCCCCCGGTGGGGCGGTTGTTGTGTGCCCTGCAACCCCGGGGCCCGGCGGGGGTGGGCTGCTGGGCTGGGCCTCGGGCTGGGCACACTGAACACACAGTTGGGCCTCACACACCACGTACTGAAACGATATTGTTCATCGATGACACGACTACCCAGGCGGAGAGACCAAGGTGCCGTTTAACTTCAATTTAAAGTTGTTGTTTTTTTCGACCATTTTTCTGACTTTCCGCGAATTAACTTTGTCCCTCCCATTTTTCAGGCACCGGCGTCTGCGGATGTGTATCCGGACAAGTTGTGCAAACGGCGGGCTCTTGAGCACCTTGAACGCTGCTGATGGAGTCGGATGGAGCCCCAGCTATAGGCGAGCTAAGTGATTAGGGTTGCGGCGCTTATAGAAAGTAAGTATACCCTGATGGGCTAAGGGTCTTTTACGTATTGGGGAAAACTGTGAACGGAACAATTTCATAGGAAAAGACTGCTTTCGTACCCACTGCCGAGGTCGCTAAGAGTTCGCTGTGGGTCGCCGCCCGAGCGGCCCGTGAGTGACGCGGCGCCGGGCGCGCGCTGACGGGTTAGGATACCCTTCCGCGGGTACATGGTGATGCGCGTACCTCCCGCAAGTACGTGATGCTGCGCGCACCCTCCCGCGGGTACATGTTGCTGCGTGGACGCGGCACCTGCCCTGCCGGCCGGCCGTGCTCTTGCTCCGCCGCGGGCACGTGCAGTGCGTGATGCGGGCTGCATATGCATCGTTGCCTTGGGGAAGGTGAAGGGGTGCGCCCGCCGGCGCCCGCTCAGCCAACCCTGTTCAAAGCCGGCCACGGCAGAGGAGGAGTCGCCCTCTGATGGGGTGTTCTCACGTCCATACACATTGGCTCTCCTTTTTCGGTGTACCCCTGTGCGCCCCCCCCCCCCCTCAATCAATATGTCCTGCATCCACTCCCGCGTATATTTTGGACCTCAATTATCAACCCCGAAGTTTTTGCATCTACGGGGAAGTCCACGCGCGGCGTCCACCAACCACCCGCGCCCTGGTGCTAGGGGTGCGCGCGAACGAAACGTGCTGCTCCGCGCGATAAAATGCGATCGGTACTCTTCAGCGGGTTTCCCGCAAAGTTTGTGTTGTTCACTATCATAGCAAAAGCTTAACAAAGCATGAGCAGTGCGAGCTTGAATATTCATGCGCGTAGCCGCGAGGGCCGTAGCGCACGCCGCGGCGGCCCACCACGCCCCGCCTCGCCTCGCCCCGCCCTACCCCGCCCAGCCCCGCCCCACCACGCCCCAACGACCGCGCTATCACATTATAATTATTCCCGTTGTTGAACTGGTCGGCCACCAAAGCGACAGGCAGGCTGGGGAAAGGCTCGCGGCGCCGAAACCGAATCGCGATGACAAATGGACCGCCTCCCCCCCCCCCTCTCTCTCTCTCCCCTGCGAACGCGCTGCTCCCGCCCTCGCCCGCCCTCGCCCACCCTCTGGACAACAGCCGCTACCCTTAGGGGTTGTCGACCAATTCTGCCCCGTGCATACCCACTGAAACCCACACACAGAGCCAGCGGAGCCAGCTATTTGCTCTACCCGAACAAGTCGCATCGCTGTTATCGTGCAACGGAAGGAACGAGAACACTGGAAAATTGAAGGTGCGAAGTCAAGTCGCACCTTTGCTGGGGAGTTAACAAGCATTTTTCAGTTTGCCTTTGTACTTTGAAAAAGACCTTTAAAAGCACACAATGTAAAAAAATTAGTGTATCTGGCAGTTTGAATACCTATTTTAATTGCACTACCCCAGGCGCGGTTTTAAGGGGGTGACAGGGCGACAGGAGCAGCCCCCGCCCCCTCTCATCTCTAGAAAGCCGCCCGATAGACAGTTCACTGTACAGAACCCCTGAGTGTAGACAACCCACTGCTTCCGCCCGTCAGCCGGACCCAGATCGGCGCGACTGCTCTTACTGAACAATGTACAAACTATTGAAAGTGCGCCTGACCATACTGTTGTTTTTTTTGTATGTTATGTGTTGTACCCGATGCCAGATGGGTATACCTTTCTGTTTGCTGAACTATAGTTTGTCCTACACTGGTAAAACAAAGGTGCAGGGGTGCTAAACTCGTTTTTGGGGTGCTTAAGTGTGTATTTTCAGATTTTCCCAAATATTTTCTGAATGAGCAAACCGATCACATTTTGGGATACATTGTCGCATTTCTCGCAAAATTCCGCGTCGAACGAGCCTATATATGATAGGGTTCTGATAAGCAGTCTGTGAATGAAAAGCAAGGCAAAAAGTACAAAAAATTCTATCAATTTGTGCCATTTTTGAACAGAACCCCATCACATGTAGGCTCGTTCGACGCGGAATTTTGCGTAGATTACGGAAATGGGTCTAAGAATCCAATTTAAGTCCATAGGAACGAAATATTTCGAAAAAACATAAGCTGTAATGCCTTTGGAGCTTTAGTGCCTTTTAAAGGTAGGGTATCCTACCTTTGTTTTACCAGTGTAGTCCATAGGCGATAGGCTACTGACATCTTACCCAATGTCTGCGTCCCCGCAGCCTCGTCTGCGGTTTTCCAGAGGGTGGCGTGGAGCAAGCGCCGTTGCCCTGCCGTGCGTATAACTCGAACGCTGCAGTAAAATGCTCGATCTGACTCTAAATCTGACACCTAAATAACACAGCAGCAGAGGCAGCGCTGAAGTTGGCACTCGTGTGGGAGGGAGGGCCACGCCGGCAGAGCCCGAAGGTGACGACTGCTACTCTACCTGAATCCGTCTCCTTCCCACTTGCTCTATCTGGCCTCACCTAAGATGGCGTGCGCTCTTCGTCCCACCCTGAGGGGGTGAGTGGGTGAGTGGGAGGGAATGCCATTGGGTGCTGACGGAGCCCACTCTGCAAAATACTGGTTGCGAAACCACATCTTCGGCTGTGCGACGCATTTTGAAAGTCTTCGACTCGATTCTTAGGGGAAAGGGAAGAACGGCTGCATCATGAAGAGCCAAGTGGCCTTCCATCGATCGCGCGAGTTGTGTACTCGACTGTCCACACGAGTTTGTACCTGAGAGTGTGCATACGTTAATTGTTCAATGTGCGAAAATATCATTGCATAGTCCCGCGATGCTGCGATACTCTTTGATATTGTTGAGTTTGTGTACTTTTCTGGCGGTAGTCCTTCAATGTGTGAGGGTTTTATGCTCGTAAAAAAGTTTAGTTGTGAGAACTAACAAGTTAAATAAACACGGGACAGCCAATCAAATTTCAGGATAACCTCGTTCTGGCAGCTAAGCCAAGGCCATGATTTAGTAGCGAGAACGAAAGAGCTAATAAATGGGTATCAGGACGAGACGGACGAGAGGTTTTATTTGTCCCTGCAGCGACAATTTCGTTCTGGTAACTGGCTCTGACATTGTTATTTCATGTTTGTCGAATTCTATCGATTGTGGTGAAATTAGCGGATTTGGTTGGTGATAAAGTTCTAGAATGCTCAGGCTGGAGGCAGCAGGGTCGGCTGCCCTATCGCGTTCGGGAACGCTCTCGCGCGGACATCGCCGTCTCCCCTAGCGGGCCGTTGGGGCCGCTGAAATGATTCCAAACGTGTTGCGTTACGTGTCGCGCCCGGGCCGGATCGCGGGTCGCAGGGAATGGATTCGATTTATCGCCCTGGTTAATGGTGATTGGATGAGCGACGCTCAGGCTCAGCGCCCCGCCCCGCCTCGTCCCGCCCGCACGGCAGTGCTGTGCGCCGGGCGTTAGCCGGCAGCCCGGCGGCGAAATTGCGCAAATTATCGAGCATGGAAAAAGTCCCCCCGTGCCTGGAAATTTGCCGACTGTTAACTGCTGTATGCATAGAAGTTGGGGATGGATTTGAGGCTACGGTGGTGATGATAAAAACGCTTGTTTTATAGAGCGCGTGGGGAGTGCGTCTCCTCGGTGACAGCTCCACGGTTAAGAACAATGTCTAAGTATTGAGGGAAAAGGGGCACTTTGTTAATTTCAAGTCCTTCAGCTTATTGAGAAAAACTTCCCAAACATTGGGGATATCTCACTTTTAAAAAATCAAGAAAACTCTATCTTTTCTTGAAACTTCCTCAAAATCTGAGTGGTACCCCAAATTATTAAATGATAAACCACATGTGTAAACTGCTTAACGCATGTACCGGATGTGACTGTGAATACGCAGCAGTGTTGCGGAATTGCATACTCAATATGGCCGCAGGGGCCATGGCCCTTTACGGGTGGAAAGGGTAGGCAAACCCACAACACTGCTGTGTATTCACAGTTTCACCTAGTAAGTGTGCAAGGTTCTTAACTCCTAAGTTGTTGTGCACTTGCAATTGTTCATCTCCGCAGTTGTGCGCGATGTAAGTGAGCGCAACTTCTCCTTTGAAACACTTCCTTTAGAAACCTGCAACACTGATGAGTTTGCCTCTGATACACCCAGTATGGGTGAATCATGTGCCATCAATGACGTGTTCAGCAGCATTAGCGACCCGGCCGGCCGGACCCGGCGCGGTAAGTGCCATACGGTATCGTTGGCGTGCGCTGCAGAGGACCCGGCCTGTCTTTTTGCCGCTGCGGACGGGAGCAGCGCTTGGCCGGCACGAGCACAGCACACGCCCACCCTGACTGGGCACGCCCCTCCCGGCCCGGCCCGGCCCCGCCCCGCGGAGCAACATGTACGTGTCCCGCCGTGAGGCTGGTCAGGTCCTTAATTGCCTTGCAGGCCATATTTAGCGGGGCGGTCGGGCCCTTTGTCCGGCCCGCACGCCACCGACACGCCGCCGAGGTGTCCTGTCCCGCCCGAAGGAGCTTCCGCCGGTGATGATGAAGCTTACCTCGGCTTAGGTACCCGGTAAGAAATCTTATTCCGACGCCGTGCCGCGAATTGCACTAGAATTGCCATGCCCCCCCCCCCCATGAAATCCCAACGCCGCTACTTCGTTACAAACGCCAAGTTGCTCTTCAATTTCTAAACGGGGGTCATGCTCGCCGAGGGCTGATCTGGCTCACGACTGATGGAGGAGTCAAATATGCTGGTTCTGGCGCATGCTTGCAATGCAACGGTAGCGGGCAGTGCTAAAACCTCGTTAAAGACCGACTGAGACTCAATAGATGAAAAAACTGTTTTGTTCTAGTCAGCTAAATTGATCCGTCTGCACGTTACACTCTTTCGCGTTGTCCCCAATTTGTTCTTGTGTCTCCTCGTAGTGTGGTGACGTCCTGACTCAGCCTTGACTGACTGGACAGTCCATCATGGTGACGCGCTGCTGGGGTTGGAGCGCTCGCACCTGGACGTGAGCTCCCCTTTCCCTGAGCACAGCTTCCCCGCCCCCTTCCGCTGCCGCCCTACACCATCCTCCCTTTGCGGAACGCGGTGGACCGTACGCCCCCAATAAACCCCTGGGGGCGGGGG